GGAATAAGAATAATTTTTCACCAACGCACACTTCGAAAGTATTTTACGCGCTGACTGTGTGAGTGTGTGTGTATGCTTGACGCTCTGTTAGTTATCGTATATAGCATTTTGTTTGGCATCATTAATGGCGTTAATCTTGCCCAAAAACTTGCGAATTTCAGAATTTTGGCCATCTGCGACGTGTGAACTATTCAATCGAAACAAAAAAGTCGTTTTTGGAAAAACCTCAACGTTACTGCAATCATTTAGAGCTCCTTACATCGTTACCATGGTGCGGTGGCGTTTACGGACGTGGCGTTTGCGGATTCTAAGAATCGGGTGGCGTTTGTGGATTCTCATATTTTGACGGTGGCGATTGCGGACATGCGGAACAGGGCCGGTGGACTTTGCGGACCGGAGAATTTCGGCGGTGGCGATTGCGGACGGAGGGGTAGGCACCTACATATGCTGCCCCCCACCCCTTCGCTGTATATTAAAGAGAAAAATTACCGGAGAGGCTCTGGATTCCTTGCTGTGGATGTAGAATGAAAACAATATTAGTATTAAACATTAGTATGGACCATTAGACAAGGTACGAATTTCAGCATTCTGATACACGTTTCTTAACCAAAATTTTACGTAAAACACGATGCACACAACGAAAATTACCGAAATTAACTCCTTACGTAGATATTTAATGATTCTTGATACGTGAATTCAAACCACCCGCTCATGAAAACTCAATGCTCTACGTGATTCACATCGTGCGCTAAACGCTATCATGACAGTCTCTGCGATATAAAATCTGGCAACCTCAATCTTGACGCTTTGGCTTAGTTATAGCAAATTGCTAATAGTATGAACAACACATGGTGGGAAATGAACATTGCTCGATTGAGAAGCTTGCTGAAACCGTTGTAGTGTGCAATTTGACTCACGTAGAGCTTTGAGTTTCTTGTGAGCGGGCAGTTCAAATTCCTCGTAACCAATGTGAAAAAAAAACGTTAATATCTCCGTTAGGAGTTGGTTTCAGTAATTTTCGTTGTGTGAATCGTTTTCTACGTGAAATTCTGGTTAAGAAACATGTATTAGATCGCTTAAATTCGTACCGTGTCTAGTGGTCCATTATATTAGTATAAAAACATATGAGCTGTGAACATACAGTAAATTTTTAAAAACAGGCATATCAGAAATCAAGAAACTGAAAAATCGTCAGTTTCAGTTCATTTTTAGGATGAAAAACATGTTGTAAATTCTAGTCCAAAATTACTGAAAGTCAAAAAATTAAAATGTGTTTTCATTTTTCGTTGTAATTTTTTGACTTTCAGTTATTTTGGACTAGAATTTACAACATGTTTTTCATCCTAAAAATGAACTGAAACTGACGATTTTTCAGTTTCTTGATTTCTGATATGCCTGTTTTTAAAAATTTACTGTATGTTCACAGCTCATATGTTTTTATACTAATATACTACTAATGTTTAATACTAATATTGTTTTCATTCTACATCCACGGCAAGGAATCCAAAGCCTCTCCGGCAATTTTTCTCTTTAATATACAGCGAAGGGGTGGGGGGCAGCATATGTAGGTGCCTACCCTTCCGTCCGCAATCGCCACCGCCGAAATTCTCCGGTCCGCAAAGTCCACCGGCCCTGTTCCACATGTCCGCAATCGCCACCGTCAAAATATGAGAATCCGCAAACGCCACCCGTTTCTTAGAATCCGCAAACGCCACGTCCGCAAACGCCACCGCACCCGTTACCATGTCTCTCCTGACTGTTGCTGGGGACAATGATTCTAGCGCGTGAAAAAGTTATTGATGGGCGGAGCAAAAAAGAAATTGACATATTCTTGTTCTCAAATTCAAAAGCATTACCTATCATCTCCGATAAAGTTTTCTCAAGTATAATCACTCTAGTTATGCTGCAACGTCGATTTAAAGTCAAGAACCAGGCACAAGGGACACGCAAATTCGGGATAAATTTAGGCAATTTGCACATTCAAAGTTCTCCTAAAGGGGTACGTGCAAAACGGGCCATTTCACGCTCGTGTCGGATACCATTGAAACTTGCCCTATTGATTCATCTAACAATGCCCCATGTTTTCCCAAAGTTTCAAGCCCCCAAAAAATTTTGGGGGGAAGTGGCGGGGGGGGTCAAAGTTAAAAATTCGCGAAATTTTTGCGATTTTTTTACTCGGAAACTACTAAATATCTCGAAACGCGGTTTAAACGAGCGTTTTCAGCGTGGAAAGAGCTTATAGAAAATGTGTAATATTATAGAATTTTGTCAATTTAAACTCGAGTTATCGCCCCCGAAGCGCCGGAACGCTAAAAAATGACCCGCTTTTTTTTCACGGTCGGGCCGATCCCCAAAATAGCCCATTTTTAATTTCTTTAAAAAACTGATATGTTGTTCCCGACTCTCTGTGGCACCTACATGTCTTTACTATATCCTGGGGAATGTTTTGTCCGCGAGTTGTAAGCGCGGAAAGGAGCAAAAGTCGGAAAAATCGGCTATTTTGATCGTCGCATGGGTTAGAAAAAGAATGCCCCATCCTGCTCAGTTCGGCGAATCACACTTCTCTGCCGACCTCGCATTGTTGCCACATGTCTCCTGATCCGATCCGTCGCCGCGCACAGTTTAAAGTAGCCGATTTCCCCGACCTTCGCTCCTTTCCGCGCTTATAACTCGCGAACAAAACATTTTCCCAGCATGCGGTTAACCCTGGTAAAACTGATCACCTAAAAAATAGGTGACATCGCCAAAAAAATAGGCGACATCGCCTAAAAGGTAGGTGACATCACGTAGAAGGTAGGTGATGTCACCTACAAGGTAGGTGGCATCGCCTAGACGGTAGGTGACATCACCTAGAAGGTAGGTGACATCGCCTGGAAGGTAGGTGGCATCACACAGGTCGCATTTGAGATTGAGTAAGGAAAAATTAAATATTAACTAGCTAATTATTGGATAATTTCATGGGTAGATAATAGAACATTTAATTGCTTTGTGCTAAACATTTTTATATCTACAGTGGAAAAAACTATAAGAATAAATATATGTAAAAAAAGGAAATTTAGAACATTAAGTAAAATAATAACAAGAATGAAGTAAAAATAAAATAGATTAAAGACATGTAATGTCGTAAAAAAAATATACGTTAGAAGCGGACGTTAGAAAATGAAAAAAGTGAAAAAACAAAATAAAGTGAAAAATAAAATGCAGTCTGAAAATGAAACATAGTAAATAAAATGAAATGAAATAAAATAAAATAAAATGAAATAAAATAAAATAAAATGAAATGAAATAAAATAAAATAAAATAAAATAAAATAGAGAAAAAAGTAAAATAACACAGCGTGAAAAAATGAAAAATAAAATTTTTTAAGTAAGTATAGTAAAAAAATAAAATTGGGAATATAATAAAATAGAGTGAAATAATAAAGTACAGTAAAATGAATAAAAAAAAATATAAAATGAGATAAAGGTAAAAATGAACAAATAGGTAAAAAATAAAATGAAAAAACAAAATGTGTAAAGGTAATAGGTAAAGAAATAAACTGAAATGAATTAGAGTAAAAACGAACAAATCAATAAAAACTGGTCGAGATATCCTGGCTGTACAGTGCACGTTTAATTCGAAGCTAAATGCAGGTTTTTCGTCACTGTTTTCAGGCGGCCGGCATAGCTTAGTAGGTAAGGTCTTCTTTCAGTGTTCGGGAGGTCCCAGGTTCAATCCCCGGAGCAGGCAAAAAACTCCAGATCAAAATTCCAACGAAGGTGCTTAACAGTGTCACGTGGACGCCATTTTTCACAGTTTTTGAAATAATCCCCGTACATAACCTATTTTAGGGGGGCTTTTTTCACGGCCCCGCAATGCTAGGTGACATCGCCTACACGTAGTTTTTGGTGACATCATCTATAATTTTAGGTGACATCGCCTGTTCCAAAAATCGCCTCACCTAAGTTGGTGAGGCGATGTCACCTGTATTTTTAGGTGATCAGTTTTACCAGGGAATTAGTAAAAACCAAGTATTTAATCATCATTAAAATACCTAATAATTGTACACAATTAAGAATTTAACAAATTATTCAAATTAAACAAACGCGAGTAAAGAACAAAATATCGCACGATTTTCCTTTCACCTTAATCTTCCTCTCTCACTTGTCTCGAATCTCCACGAGGAGCACATAGGGACCCGGACCCTTTTTTGTACCTACTACCATGTAATATTGACAAACTCAATAATTTTGCCAAATTGGCGAGTGAAATCCCACAAAGCGGGTGATTCCGAGTGGGATCCGGCGTGTCCGAGTTGGGTCCGGAATGAAATGGGGTCTCTCGAGGGAATGTGTCAGAGTTGGGTCCGACGCGTGCGACGCGACGCGACCTAAGCCGGCAATAGCACCCACATTTTCCTTCCCATTTTATACAGGATTAGGACTATCCACCGTAGCGGTAGGCATGGTTAAAAATGGTTGAGATGCTTCTTAAAAAGTTACTTAATGTGCAAAAATGTTTAAAATTTTGAAAGTAAAAAAATAAAAAAAAAAAACTAGAATCCGTGAAAGTTAGCGCACTGAAAAAAAATACATCAGTCAGGTAAAAATTTCTAGGACACGGTTTTAACAATTTGAGGCGGTCATTTTGATTGCTTCGTACCGATGAACAAGCTGAGCAAGAAATTCGGTTTTTGGTGCCTGACGTTTACCAATGGAGTAAGGCTTCTTTGTCTGTAGCTTAATATAGATATAGCCTTGGCTTTTATTCTGAGTCTTAATAAAACAAAAATATTAGGGTGGCGCTTGTGAACTGAGCGTTGAACTGATTGTGAGCATGGCGTGACTCACAACAGTTCGTAGTCCTCAATTCGGACCGAGCCTTTCATTTCGTTCCGGACCCAACTCGGACTATGGGGGAGAAAAAAAGGCGTCTTGGGACCCAACTCGATATCATCCCAAAAAACGTCCTGTGGAGACAAGTCATTAGACTGAGGAGAGGTTGCCTGGTTGTATGCTTACCTGTATGTAGGTGTCTTCGATGGTAGGTATGTAATCCTCCCTGAAGTTGCCTTTAATGAATCGGAGGACTAGGGAGGACTTGCCCACGCCGCCGGCTCCGAATACGACAACTCGGTAATCATTGCTCTGCTCGGGCATGCTGGCTCTGGCTCCGGCAAACCGAGCCCACCTTTGCTCCCAGTGTCTCGCCTGGCGAGCCCGCCAACCTTACCTCTCCTCGGCCCCTTCACCGATGCCTGAAACACACGAACCGCCCCACTCCTCGTTATTCAAAGTATTATAATGGAGAATAGACTGCACCAGCAGGCTCCCGGGATAGCGGAGAGAGCCGTAGGTACGTGCAGTAATGAAGTTGTGAAGAAATGGACTCACCACCGTCTGAGCGGAAAATTTCATTGAAGGAAGCGTTCTTTGTAAAATTGCCATCAAGCATCCAACCGACACGTAGACATCCTTTGGATGATTCAAAATCGACCAATTTTATTTCCACTGTAGTGCGGTCACTTAGGGTAAAAACATTTCAAATTAGGCTACCAGCATGAAACTTGGTAAAAATGTAGTTCAAGGTACCTAGAACCGAAATCCATCGGGACACAAGCGGTATCTATCATGTGTCCCCGTATTTTGGCCGCCATTTTCTAAGATGACCGACGTACGCTGATTTCCATTACTATCTCATTTTTCAGGCGTTCTAACCTACCTATTAACATGAAATTTGGCTGGACTATACTTAAGGGTGTCAATAATGAGAAACAATTGACATTTAGGTCCAGCCGGCCATTTTACCCTCGCTATTGGCCGCCATTTTTAAAATTAGCGGTTTTGCGCGGTTCCTTCGCGGTTTATCAGATTTTCGCGGCTCTGTTGCAATGAGATGCGTGAAATTTGGCAGGAATATGCATAAACATGTTGAGAACAAAAATCTATCGAGACCCAAGTTCAATCGGCCATTTTTAACCCCCGGCTAAAGGCCGCCATTTTGGAAATTAACAGCCCAGTCCTGCTTCTCCACGGTTTCTCAGATTTGCGCGGCTGTTTTGCAGCTAGACGCGAGAATTTTGGCAG